ACTTTTCCCGTCGCCCGAAAGACCCGAATAAGGGACCAACCAGCCCTGTTCAGTTCCGTGATAAGATAACGAATGCAGGAGCCGTCAACAAAAATATCTCCTTCGAACAAAACATCGTGCCCCCCCCCCCCCCCACCCCCTCACCCCCTCCCCCCCCCCCCCCCCCCCCTCCCCCACCCCCACCCCCCTCCCCCCCCCCCCCCCCTCCCCCCACTCCAGCTCGATGCCCCCCCTGGGAGAGCGGCCTGACGGGAAGAAGAGCCAGCGGAATGGTCGAAATCGCCTAGCAGGCCCAGGTTTTGTCGGCGACCTTGCGGCCCGTTTTGCCGACTTCCCTCTTCTGGGGCGGCAGACAGAGGAGTTTCCTGATCTCCAGAACTTCAGGGTCCAGACGTCCCAAACTCATGCCTGCGGGCACCCGCCCCGATTGGGGCAGAGCGTCGAAGGCAAATCAGAACCTAGCGGTTTTCGGCTCTCGGTCTTTTTCGCGTTGTTGTGCTCCGTGTTGTCGTTGTGTAAATCGCATTGCAGAACAGAGCCCTCAGACAACCCCTTCTGGTAAGGGGTGTACTTGGAACTGCGAAGGTAACTGGACACAGGCTCCACGCATGCCCGAGCTTTCATGTTGAATCTGGTCCATAAATCCCATTCATACCCCCCCCCCAAAAAAAAAAACAGCCTCACGCAGCAGCTTGCGGACGAGGTGTGGGGGGGGGGGGCTCCGTGGCTTCGTAACTTGCAAGGCCTCGATCAGTAACCGGACCCGCGAAACTAGACTAAGTCCAGGAGATCCGCTCGCACGCTTGACGAAGAGCCGTCGCAGGGCCCGAGACACTTCGCCGCAGCGGGGTTTCACCCTCGAAGCCCGCCTCCCAGGCGGCCCTAAGCTCCGTGAGCTGAAGGGTGTGCTGATAAGAATTGTGGCAAGCCCACCGCACCTCCTTCGCCCATCTGCACATCGGCGAGACAGCAGCGCACCAGCACGGGTCGCCGCGCGCCAACAGAAGCGCCGTGAGCGAGCGGCCCTTCGCCGACGGCTGCATGCACCTCAAAGGTTCAAAATCGCTGACACCATGGACCTCCGACCCGAAAAGCTCGGGCGCCAGGGCCCCAGTCGCAAACGCCTCGCTCGCAACCTTGCCCCCGACCGTGGGCTTCAGCTTCTGGGGGCGGCCCGCGACGGCCTGTGATTGTGCATCTCTCTTCTTGTGCTTGCTGCCCCCCCCTTTCACCCTCCGCGGCTTGCCCGCGCAGTCGTCGCGCCCGAGACTCGGCAACGAGCTGGCGAGCGGGCCCGCCAGCTCCCCAAGCGCGGCGGCCAACTCCTTGCCCAACGACCGATCATAACACATGAGCGACCGCCTGTCCTCGCCCGCGCTAAAGTTAGCTGCCGCCCCCCCCCCCCCCCCCCCCCCCCCCCCCCCCCCCCCCCCCCCCCCCCCCCCCCCCCCCCCCCCCCCCCCCCCCCACCCCCCCCCCCCCCCCCCCCCCCCCCCCCCCCCTTCAGAACGGCGCGGGGCAACTCGGCAGCAGGCGGCAAGTGGCGCGCAATATAATCCTTAGAGCCCGCGGCGCTCAGGCTCGAGTCATCGATGTACAACTTGAAATGTATAGGTGGGGGCAGTTGCATGCTGTCCAAGTCCTGGATCGCGCGTGCACGGACGAGCGAAGTCGCGAACGTGCACCCCGCAATAGTGCCCCCCAAGGCCCAATGGGGCCCGTCCAGGAACCCGCTGAGGACGAAACACCGAGCCTGGAGGTGCATGTGCAACCGCCATGGGGAACTGCATCCGACTACAGCGGTGCAACAGAAGCTGGAGACTGATCGTCTCATAATATGTGTATAAGTCAGGCAGCACCGCGTCAACTTCATCCTTACACGAAGTAGAGGTCTCCGCTCGAACTGCCTGCCTCAGAACCGCATCCTGGGCCCCCTTTCGAACGGTCCAGCAGCAACGGTCTCTCGCAAAACGGTGCTCTCAGGCATGCGCCATTTGCTTTCTCGCCTTACCGTGCGCGCCGCAAAGGGCGCGAGAACTCCCGGCGGGCCTGAAATCAGCGGGAGGCTTCGGGGGCAACGCGAGCAACGTCGCGGTCGCCCGCCTCGGAACCCGCGCCGCGGGCTCCATCGCGGCAGAAAAGGGCCGAGGCAATGCGCGAGAGGCAGTCGCGCATGACACTGAAATGCCCCATGTAAAAACCGCCCACGCTCACCGAGGCATTGCCCTTGAATGTCCTAGGGAACTCCCTGATGGCTTCCGCGGGCACGGGATTTAACTCAGGGGCCAATTCACCTAACTCGAACCAGGGCGAGGGACTGGCACCCCCCCGCAGGCTCGAGAATCGCCTGGCCTCAGCCTTCAGGAGGGGCGAGGTGTCCGCCACCACCGCCCCCTCCAAGGAGAGGGCGGTGGTGGGATTCCAGGGGGTAGCTCCTTTACTCGCAAGGTGGACTTACGAGCCCCTCGATCAGCCCTGTAGAGCAACCATTCAGGCCACTCTTGGTTAGCTCGCTTGCGAGCCTCCAACTCAACATTGGCTAAGACCCCCCGGGGATCTTCAACCGACCGCTTGGGGCCATCGAAATGCGATCCGCCCTGCTCCTCATGCATGGGGGGCTCTTCGATGAAGGCCACGGGCGATGGGGGGGGAGAGGCAGACGCGCCAGGGTGATGGTAAAGCTGGGGGGGGGGGGGGGGGCGACTGCAGGGCGCCCATGGCGCCGTGGGTGCCCGCCTGGGAGCCAGCCGCCCAGTGCCTTCCAAGGCGCAGGACATGTTGGCCAGCCACCTGCAAGAGAAAAGCCCATCGTTACACTTGGCGATATGTTTCGCGAATTTGTCTCTCCAGTGCATCTGGGGCGGCTTGCCCCGATCGCCCCGAGACGGGAGGACCTTGCCGGTGGCGGCGCGGACCTCGCGCTCGGCAGCATTCGCCCATCCTTTGCAGGCCTTGCCGAGAAACTCCCGGGCCGCATCCCACCCCCCCTCAATCGCGGCAGCTCGAGCCGAGTCCAGCACTTCCAAGCGCCGCCGCGGCTGGCGACGCGGCTCGAAAACGCGCGCAGGTTCGAGGGGGGCGGTGGGGATTGGCGGGGGCGGCGGAAGGCGAGAGCTTTCAACTTCCCAAACTTCGGATGCAACGCGATCCTCGCAAGCGAATGCGGGGTCGCATCGGTTTCGCGAATCACCTGGGCCGCGCTGACAGCCTTAGCGATATCCGCCGAGGCCAAACAACAATCGTGCTGCTCTAACCCAGCCGTCGACTTACACGCGCGTCCTTCAGGGGCCAAGAACTGAAGGGCGTGGGAAGTGGGCGCCGGCCCAGGCGACAACGGGGCGCGCGGTTCCAGATTGAAACCCGGCCCAAGAAAAAAAACGCCCCCCCCTCCAGGGCCCCCCCGCCCCTCCCCGCGGACAAACAGGAGCGCAGGATATCAATATTTTCGTGCGAAAGGTCCTGGTAGTCGTGGAAATAGGCCGACATGGCCGACGGGGCTGGCTGGCCAGGGATCTCGACGGTGCCGGCCGCCGCCCTCGATGCCGCGATGATGCGACCACTCGCAGGTACATGGGGGCCGAGCGCGTCGCGCGCGCAGATCGCAACGCCAGCAGAAGGCCCCTGCCCAGCTCCAGGCACCTGCTGCGCCCCGCAAACTCTTCCATCCGCGCCGTCGAGCCCGCGACGACCCAGACGCAGCCGGGCTCTCCACGTGCTCATGCTCCTGCATAACCACCGCCTTAGCGCCCGTCTTCAGAAGCCAGAGCTGACCAGACCCCCGCCCTGACGCGTTGCAGCTCTCAGCGCGCGGCGCGAAGGGGTCCTGAGGGGAACTCCGGGCCTCGAGAGGCCCCATGGGCTGAACGCCCTGGGGCGGGCAATCCGCGGGCAAAACTGGGCCGCGGAGAATCGCGGGCAGAGAAGCGGAGGTCGGGCGAGCTTCACAACCTGGGGCCCCCTTAGCCCGGAGAAGAGTGCGCCTCGCCGCCCTCGAAAGAGCCCTGCAAACCTTCGGGCGCGAAGGCGCGGGCCTGGGAGATCCGCGACAGGCGAGCCGTGCTAAAATGGCCTGCAAGAGAAGCCCCAGGACGCCCATGGCCAACTCTCGCTCGCTCCACCCCAGGCGCCCTGAAAAGCGTTTTCCGAATCCGAAGTGGCGCCAGCGGGGGAAGATGGAGATCGGCCGGGGCCCCGCCCCAGGATCGTCCGAGCGCATCGGAACCCAAGGAAGACCCAGCGGGCGGGTCGGGCCGACGTGGCCCAGGTCCTGTTTAACAGCTCCCCCGACTGAGCGCTCTGGTGAGGCAATCAGATGTGCGCGTGCAGATCGATGATCCACTCCAGCGACGCGCCCAAGTATATTCTGAAACTGATGACGCGGCCACCCTTCAAGCTGCGGGGGGGGGGGGGGCTGCTGAAGGGCGCGTAGAGCGCGGGCTCGCGCGTCGCCATCGCCAGGGGAAGGAGACGCGGAGGCACCCGTCGTACTCGCATCTGGGGGCACAGCTGGTTCGCACTGCTCCATCACCAGGTGCATCCTCGGGCTTGGCGTCGCTCGCAAGGGCGTGGGCTGCGGCATCATCCGCGTGCCCAGCAGGCTGAGTCGCTGCTTCGACGACGCGCCGCCTCTTGCCCGCAAGCCCCGCCAACTGCTTCCTCTGCTCCTCGCGGAACATGGCAGTCTGCTCGGCCGCTGTGCATAGAGCTGCTGCACCAGTGCCGTGATTGACTTCTGCAATGCCTTGAGACCAGCCTCCGCCTCTGCCTTGTCTTCAGCCGAAAGATCGTACTCCTCCCCAGGCGCCAGCAGAGAGTCCAAGTTGATGGGCAGCTCTTTACCCTGCAAAGTGTCCTCGGTAGAGATCCTCACAGATGAAGCCTGCTGCTCAGTCGAGGCCTGCGAGGGAGCGAGAACCCCACCCACCTGCATGGCCAACTCCTGAATCAACTTTGTGTCGACCTTCAGCTTGAGTGAGATCGTCCGTGAGAGATTGAATCACCTGGCGCTGGGCATCCAAGTCCATCTGGGGTCGCTCGTAGTAGGATACCGCCTTGCTGAATTTGCCCTCCAGCGCCCGCAACTCCGCGAAAGCCGTCCCCACCCGCTGCTGCAACGGGGGCTCGACCTTCTGCTCCGAGCGCTTGGCGTCCAGCAACTTTTGGTACTTGGCGGAACCCTCGGTGTCGCCCATGGGGCGCAGCGTGGCGACCAGATCGCACAGACGACATGTCTCCGATGCCGCCCTCCTGACAGCTGGCACAAAAGGGCCTGGCTGGACAGGAAGCTCAGCAAACCAAGTACCAGGAGGAGGCAAAGACCTGGGAACCCCATCAGTCGGCGGCCACCCCCGCCGTACGCTACGCGGCTGGGGAGGACGGGTGAACGAAGGGGAACTCCGCCAATACCAACAATTTTTGTACTGCTGCCACAACTGCTTATTCTTCTTGCACCCGCATGCCGTGCACGTCCACGTCGAAGGTGTGTTGCCACTAAAGCCACGGTGGCCAGATCCCGTGCCACCGTCCGCCTGCCACGGCCAGCCGTCGTTCCAGCGCGGAGCACGAAAGGCCGCAGGAGCCATGACAACTCACTGACAACGGGAGAAATCCTGGTGTCACGCAAATTGGCTCGCAGAAGCGCGTGCCCCTTTGAAGAACTGTTCCTGCAACGCTGCTAGAGCGCAAGGGGGCTAGGAGAAGGAGGAGGAGGAGGACAAGGAAAAGGAAAGGAGGAGGAGGAGGAAGTAGGAGGAGAGGAGGGAGGAGGAGAGAAGGAGGAGGCAGAGCAGGAGGAGAAGGAGGAGGAGGGAGGAGGAGTGAGGTGGAGGAGGAGGAGGAGGAGGAGGAGGAGGAGGAGCGAGGAGGAGAGGAGGAGGAGGAGGAGGAGTGGGAGGAGGAGGACGAGGGGGAAGGAGGAGGAGTAGGAGGAGGGAGGTGGAGAGGGGAGGAGGAGGATGAGGAGGAGGAGGAGAAGAGGAGGAGGACGAGGAGGAGGAGGAGGAGGACGAGGAGTAGGAGGAGGACGAGGAGGAGGGGGAGAGGAAGGAGGAGGAGGAGGGGGCGCCTGGGGCCTCACGGCTGAACCTCGCCCGCGGCCCTCGCCGGCGCGGTGCCTGCCGTTGTTGCGAGGTCGGCTAACGAGGGGTGCAGCAAGCAGCCTATAGAAGGGCACAGCGGCGGAGCAACGACACGGCAGCCGACCGAACGGAGCGGAGCCGCCCGAACCTCGGACACCCTTGTTATCCTCTCTTCTCGACCTCCGCCTTTTCTTCTTCCTCCTGCTCCTCGAGGCAGAGGAATGGGTGGCGTGACGCGCGCATCCCCCCACCCCAAAAGACGCTTCAAAGAAGCTCCTGCTCCTCCTCCTCCTCCTTCTCCTCCTTCCCCACCCTTCCTTCCTCCCCTTCCTTCCTTCCTTCCTTCCTTCCCTCCTCCCCCCTCCCCCCTCCTCCTCGCCCCCCCTTCCCCCCCCTCCTCCTCTGTCATCCCTCATGCCCACCCCTTCGGGCGGAGGCCGCGCCTCCGCCACGTGCCAGGGGTGGGACTGCGCCATGGCCACCATGCGCATCTTCGCCACGGCGCCCCGGCCCCTCGGCGGGGTCCCGAGCGAGGGCTCCGCCTGCGTCCACCGCCACTTCAGGTAGTCCTCGCGGCGCGGCGGAAAGTGGGAGGGTGGGGGGGAGAGGTTGGGGGGAGGGGGGGAGGAGGGGGCGACGAGGGGTGTGGAGAGGAGGGGGAGGGAGGGAGGGAGGGAGGATGGGAGGGACGGGGGGGAGGGGGGAGGGAGGAGGGACAAGCTAGGTGCGCTCGCGTCATATCTGACATCCTACTCCTCCCTCCCATCCCTTACCATGGCGCTGATTTTCTCTATCCGCGGACGCGTGTCGTAGCGGACCTGTGGCTCCGCGCGCGTGTGCGTAGTGGGTGGTGGTGCGCGTGCGTGCGTGCGTGTGTGCGTGGTTGTGGTTGTTGGGGTGGTGGTGTGTATGTGTGTGTGTGTGGGTGCGTGTGTGTGGTGCGTTCTGTGCGTGTTTTTGCGCGTGTCTGTGGTGTGGAGGTGGTGTGGCGTCTTGGTGGTTTTGGTGAGTGGCCTGGGCGTCGTGCGTGATGGCGGGTGGTGGTGGTGGTGGTGGCCGGGGTGGTGGTGTGTGTGTGTGGGTGTCTGTGTGTTGTGGTGTTGTGTGGTGTGCGTGTTGTGGTGTGTGTGTGTGTGTGTGTCGATGTGTGTGTGTCGTGTGCCGTGCGTGCGTGCCGTGCGTGAGTGCGTGCGTGCGTGCGTGCGTGCGTGCGTGCCGTGCGTGCTGTGCGTTTTCTTTGTTGATTGTCTGTGTGTGCGCGCGTGTGATGTGGTGTGACGCGGTGTAGCGTGGTGGTGGTGGGTGGGGTAGTGCGGTGGTGGTGGCGGTGCGCGGTGGTGGTGCGCGTGCGTGCGTGCGTGCGGTGGTGGGTGGAAGTGGCGGTGGGTGTGCGTGCGGCGGGGCGGGGCGTGGTGCGGCGCGGTGGTGGCGGGCGGATGGGCGCGCAAGAAAGAGGCCCGCGCTGGGGCGAGAACGCCATCCTGAACGACGGAGGCAAAACACCGATCCGAAAATGAGGCCCACGCTGCAGCGGGAGCACGATTCGGAACGATTCGGGAGCAGAAATGAAGCCGGCGCCTCAGCGAGAGCAGCATTTTGAAAAAAACGCAGGCGAAAACCCAACTCCCGGGAATCCTGTGTAAAAAAACAGTGCGCGGGGGGGGTCGGCCACTCCCAGCACGCCATCAGGGGAAGAGGGAGAGTAGTATTCATATTGAGTAATTGTGGAGGGTGTGACGAGGAGGAGGGAGGGGGAGAGAGGGAGGGAGGGAGGAGGGGGAGGGAGGGAGGAGGGGTGAGGGAGGGGGGGGCCAGGGGTTTGTGAGGAGGGATGGGAAGGGAAGGACGGGAGGGAGGAGGGGGGAGGGAGGGGGGGACGAGGGTGTGAGGAGGAGGGGGGGGAGGGAAGGGAGGGAGGAGGGAGGAGTTGGGGGGATCCGATGGATAGGTGGAGGTTATTAGGGGGGGAACACGAGGAGGAGGGAGGGGTGAGGTGGAAGGAGGGAGGGAGGCGGGGGAGGTGGTGGTGGTGGGTGGTGGTGGTGGTCGGTGGTGGTTCGGTGGTTGGTGGTGGTGTGGTGTGGTGGTGGTTGTGGTTGGTGGTGGTGGTGTGTGGTGGTGGTGTTGGTGTGGTGGTGGTGGTGGTGGTGGTGGTGGTGGTGGTGGTGGTGGTGGTGGTGGTGGTGGTGGTGGTGGTGGTGGTGGTGGTGGTGGTGGTGGTGTGGTGGTGGTGGTGGTGGTGGTGGTGGTGGCGGTGATGGTGGTGGTGGTGGTGGTGGTGGTGGTGGTGGTGGTGGTGGTGGCGTAGGGAAGGCATCTGTCGAGGCCGCGGGCACAGCCTATTTAGCGGCACCTCCCACTCGGGGATGGCTGGGGGACAGCTCACCACCCGTCGCGGGTTTCTAGTGACCGCAGCGCCACGACGCCACTCGGTACGAGAGACTCCCAGGGGGGCCCCCCCCCGGAGAACACTCCTCGCCCCCTCTCGACCACAGGAAGGCCCAGAAGTACCAGACCCCAAGTGCCTGAGGAGCGGGAATCCTCAGAACTGGGGAGCGCTACCGCTGGGGTTCCGACCCCGCGCCATTTTGGCGCATCCCTCACACGGTTCGTGGCCCCACAGGGAGCTCCACCGAAGGCCCCAATGGAAGGGTTCGCATGGCGGCCCCGCCCCATTTTGGCGCACCCCTCACACGGTTCGTGGCCCCATAGGGAGCTCCACCGAAGGCCCCAGTGGCAGGGTTCGCATGGCGGCCCCGCCCCATTTTGGCGCACCCCTTGCACGCTCCGTGGCCCCATAGGGAGCTCCACCGAAGGCCCCAGTGGCAGGATTCGCATGGCGGCCCCGCTTCATTTTGGCGCACCCCTCACACGGTTCGTGGCCCCACCGGGAGCTCCACCGAAGGCCCCAGTGGCAGGATTCGCATGGCGGCCCAGCCCCATTTTGGCACACCCCTTGCACGCTCCGTGGCCCCATAGGGAGCTCCACCGAAGGCCCCAGTGGAGGGTTCGCATGGCGGCCCCGCCCCATTTTGGCGAACCCCGCAAACGGTCCGTGGCCTAATAGGAGGCTCAACCGAAGGCCCCAGTAGCAGGGTTCGCATGGCGGCCCCGCCCCATTTCGGGCGCACCCCGCACACGGTTCGTGGCCCCACAGGGAGCTCCACCGAAGGCCCCAGTGGCAGGGTTCGCATGGCGGCCCCGCCCCATTTTGGCGCACCCCTGCGGTTCTCACACTTGCATATGGTTGGGTCCTTCGCCAGGATAATTCCCAACCATCCTGTGGTGTTGGGTCCTCGCCTTGAAGAGACAGCGCCCCGCGTCCCACCTCCTCCTCCTCTCCTCCTCCTCCACCTCCTCCCTCCTATCATCACCATCATCATCATCCTCATCCTCATCCTCATCATCATCATCATCATCATCATCATCATCATCATCATCATCATCATCATCATCATCATCATCATCATCATCATCATCATCATCATCATCATCATCATCATCATCATCATCATCATCATCATCATCATCATCACGATCATTACCATCATCGTCATCAGAATCACCCATTTCGGCACACCCCTCACACGCTTCGCGGCCCCATAGGGAGCTCCACCGAAGGCCCCCGTGACAGGGTTCGCATGGCGGCCCCGCCCCATTTCGGCACACCCCTCACGAGGATCGTGGCCCCATAGAGGCTTCACCGAAGGCCCCAGTGGCAGGATTCGCATGGCGGCCCCGCGTTTTGGCGCACCCCTCAAACGGTTCGTGGCCCCACCGGGAGCTCCACCGAAGGCCCCAGTGGCAGGGTTCGCCTGGTGGCCCCGCGCCATTTTGGCACACCCCTCACACGCTCCGTGGCTCCATTGGGAGCTCCACCGAAGGCCCCAGTGGCAGGGTTCGCAAGGCGGCCCCGCATTTTGGCGCACCCCTCACACGGTACGTGGCCCCATAGGGAGCTCCACCGAAGGCCCCAGTGGCAAGGTTCGTATGGCGGCTCCGCTCCATTTTGGCACACCCCTCACACGGTTCGTGGACCCATAGCGAGCTCCACCGAAGGCCCCAGTAGCAGGGTTTGCATGGCGGCCCCGCCCCATTTTGGCGCATCGCATCCTTCACACGGTTCGTGGCCCCACAGGGAGCTCCACCGAAGGCCCCAGTGGAAGGGTTCGCATGGCGGCCCCGCTTCATTTTGGCGCACCCCTCACACGGTTCGTGGCCCCACAGGGAGCTCCACCGAAGGCCCCAGTGGCAGGATTCGCATGGCGGCCCAGCCCCACTTTGGCACACCCCTTGCACGCTCCGTGGCCCCATAGGGAGCTCCACCGAAGGCCCCAGTGGCAGGGTTCGCATGGCGGCCCTGCGCCATTTTGGCGCACCCCTCACACGTTTCGTGGCCCCACCGGGAGCTCCACCGAAGGCCCCAGTGGCAGGATTCGCATGGCGACGCAACTCCATTTTGGCACACCCCTCACACGCTCCGTGGCCCCATAGGGAGCTCCACCGAAGGCCCCAGTGGAAGGGTTCGCATGGCGGCCCTGCGCCATTTTGGCGAACCCCGCAAACGGTCCGTGGCCTAATAGGGGGCTCAACCGAAGGCCCCAGTAGCAGGGTTCGCATGGCGGCCCCGCCCCATTTCGGGCGCACCCGTCACACGGTTCGTGGCCCCACAGGGAGCTCCACCGAAGGCCCCAGTGGCAGGGTTCGCATGGCGGCCCCGCCCCATTTTGGCGCACCCCTGCGGTTCTCACACTTGCATATGGTTGGGTACTTCGCCAGGATATTTTTTTGACCATTTTTGAACATTCCTCCTGTAGAGGGACATGCCCGACTTAACTCGAGCACATCAGGACGTCAACCTGGCGAAATGCACGCTGCGAACTGCAGTTGCCAGAGCCTTAGAAACGTCTGCAGCTGCAGGGTCAAGGCTTGCCCGGCGTCAGGGAGCCTCGTCTCGGGAAGGCCTTGCGATCGGGTGTCCGACCCCACGGGGGCCACGCCGGCAGGCTCCAAAACGGAGCGAAAAGCTGGGGGCACCCTGGGCCAGGGGCACCCACAGCAACCCCCGTAAACAAGGGCTGGAGGTGAGCCGGTGGGCCCTGAGCCCGCAACCCTGTAGCGTAAGCAGGGGCCGCCCTCCACGTGCTTCTGTGGCTCTTCCCGAGAGTCCTCGAGCACCTCGGTCTCTGTGTGGGAGCTCAGCTGCGACATGAAGCGGAAAGAATACAGGAAGGACATTAACACCTGGCCGGTCCGTGCACATCCTGCAGCCGAGCAATACCCCTCACCCCATATTCCTTCTGCCGTTTCCCATCCTCCTCCTGCTCCTCCTCCTCCTCCTCCTCCTCTTCTTGCCCTTTCTCGTTCTCCTGATCTTCCCCTTTCTCTTTCTTTTCCTCCTCTTCTGTCTCTCCTCCCCAGTCCTCCGCCTCTTCCTTCTCCTTTGACCCCTCCTCGGTGCCTTCAAGCTGCGGGCACGGGTCTTCTGTACGACGCTGCCCTCCCCTCCTGGAGGCCAGTGCCACCAGGGAGGACGGAAACCAAAACAGTACGTAAGCTGAAGCTTGCAAGAAGGCCCAGGAGTCGAGAGAAAGAGAGAGAGAGGAGTGTCTGGGAACCACAGACGTAGAAGTTGTCACAGCCTGATCGCGCCGTATTTTTCCCAACCCTCCTTGTGTTGGGGATTCGTTTTGAATAGAGCACTGTGGTATCCACCTCCCGCCCTCTCCTCCTTCTTCTCTCCTGTGTTCGCGGTGCCTTGCGGGGCTGCGATCTGCGCAACTGTCGCCACTTTCGTGGGTTCCTGGGAGGCCCAGCGGAGGTACGTCCTACGGAGGTCACTTTGAGGCCTCCCTGTCACCGGCGGGGCTGCGATCTGCGCAACTGTCGCCACTTTCGTGGGTTCCTGGGAGGCCCAGCGGAGGTACGTCCTACGCAGATCACTTTGAGGCCTCCCTGTCCCCTGCGGGGCTGCGATCTGCGCAACTGTCGCCACTTTCGTGGGTTCCTGGGAGGCCCAGCGGAGGTACGTCCTACGCAGATCACTTTGAGGCCTCCCTGTCCCCTGCGGGGCTGCGATCTGCGCAACTGTCGCCACTTTCGTGGGTTCCTGGGAGGCCCAGCGGAGGTACGTCTTACGCAGACCACTTTGAGGCCTCCCTGTCCCCTGCGGGGCTGCGATCTGCGCAACTGTCGCCACTTTCGTGGGTTCCTGGGAGGCCCAGCGGAGGTACGTCCTACGCAGATCACTTTGAGGCCTCCCTGTCCCCTTGGCGCACCTGGCGCGCACCTGGCGCACCTGGCGCGCACCTGGCGCGCTGGGCGCACCTGACGCACCTGACGCGCTGGGCGCACCTGGCGCGCACCTGGCGCACCTAACGCACCTGGCGCACCTGGCGCACCTGTCGCACCTGTCGCACCTGTCGCACCTGGCGCACCTGGCGCGCACCTGGCGCGCACCTGGCGCGCACCTGGCGCGCACTTGGCGCGCACCTGGCGCGCACCTGGCGCGCACCTGGCGCGCTGGGCGCACCTGACGTACCTGACGCGCTGGGCGCACCTGTCGCGCACCTGGCGCACCTGGCGCACACGTGGCGCACACTTGGCGCGCCTGCGCGCACCTGGCGCATCTGGCGCACCTGGCGCGCCTGGCGCACCTGGTGCAACTGGCGCACCTGGCGGACCTGGCGCGCACCTGGCGCACACCTGGCGCACACCTGGCACACCTGGTGCATCTGGCGCGCTGGGCGCACCTGCCACACCTAGCGCAGACCTGGCGCTCCTGGCGCACCGGGCGCACTTGGCGCACCTGGCGCACCTGTCGCACCTGGCGCACATGGCGCACCTGGCTCACTTGGCGCGCCTGGCGCAACTGGCGCACATGGCGCACCTGGCTCACTTGGCGCGCCTGGCGCAACTGGCGCACCTGGCACACCTGGCGCACCTGGCGCACCTGGCGCGCGCCTGGCGCGCACCTGGCGCGCACCTGGTGCGCACCTGACGCGCTGGGCGCACCTGGCGCGCTGGGAGCACCTGGCGCGCACCTGGTGCACCTGGCGCGCTGGGCGCACCTGACGCACCTGGCACACCTGGCGCACCTGGCGCACCTGGCGCGCCTGGCGCGCATGGCGCACCTGGCGCGCCTGGCGCGCACCTGGCGCACACATGGCGCACCTGGCGCACACATGGCGCACCTGGCGCACCTGGCGCGCACCTGGCGCGCTGGGCGCACCTGACGCACCTGACGCGCTGGGCGCACCTGGCGCGCACCTGGCGCACACCTTGCGCACCTGGCTCACTTGGCTCGCCTGGCGCGCCTGCGCGCACCTGGCGCGCCTGCGCCCCTGGCGCACCTGGCGCACCTGGCGCACCTGGCGCGCCTGGCGCCACTGGCGCACCTGGCGCACCTGGCGCGCCTGGCGCGCCTGGCGCACCTGGCGTACCTGGCGCAGCTGGCGCACCCGGCATACCTGGCGCGCTGGGCGCACCTGGCGCACCTGGCACACCGGGCGCACACCTGGCGCACACCTGGCGCACACTTGGCGCACCTGGCGCATCTGGCGCACCTGGCGCGCCTGGCGCGCTTGGCGCACCTGGCACACCTGGCGCACCTGGCGCACCTGGCGCACCTCGCGCACCTGGCGCACCTGGCGCACCTGGCGCACCTGGCGCGCCTGGCGCGCTTGGCTCACCTGGCGCGCATGGGCTTCTGGGAGGCTCAGCGGAGGTACGTCCTACGCAGATCACCACTATACCATGGCGCCGAAATGTCCTTCGGTATTGAGTGGTCCTGAATGCAATTGCCACTTGTGTAGAAAGGGTTGGGTACGTCGCAGGATAATTTCCCCCCCCCCCCCCTCCTTCTCCTCCCCCATCTCATGCCCATACCGCACACGTGCTTCCTCCTCGTCGCATCACCAGGCGTGTCGGTAGGATGGCCTGGGCATCTCGCTGGATATACTCCCACACTATATGCAGCTTGTATTCTCGCCGTAACGCTGTGGGCGTTCGTCTGAGGCGTCTGCAACAGCTTCGCGGATGGAAGGCGGGCCCCTTCCAAAACAAGAAACACGGCTCTCGCCCGAGCAGCGTGCACGTCATGTGAAAAGCAACAGCCCAATGCGCGGACGAAGGGCAGATCCACTTCCCAACCATGCTCCTCTCTCTGTCTGCTTCTCCCGCTTTGTCTCTTTCTCTCTTTACCTCTTTCTCCCCACCTCTCTATCTGTATGTGTGTGTGCGTGTGTGTCTCTCTCTGTCTCTCTTTCTCTACCTCTCTATGGCCTCGGCTCGAGGATCCCCCGTGGTCCGAGCGCAGCCCCGATTTGCCCACTCCCCGAATTCCATCCAATAGAGCCTCCCAGTGAGGCCGGCCACCCGCTTCACGAAGGCAATCGAGCGGCGCTAACCTTCGCAGACTTCCCCGGCAGGCCGCGACGCTGCGCCCTCACAGCTTCGCTGAGATGAGGGCGCAGCTGCCTGCGAACATCTTTGCTTTTTCATCTGCGCGGTCTGCAAAGTCAGGCCCAGCCTGAACCGGATGAGCACGTCGCCGGGTGCATACTTCGGTGTGGATGCCGTGGACATGGCGCCGTTCGGTCTCGCAGTAGGTCGGGCATGTCCTCCTACAGGCGGATTTCTGGAAGACCAAAAAAGCCAAAACATCTTCAACAATCTTCAAAAATACTAAACAAATCTCGGGGGCGCGCAAACATGGATTAGCGATCCATGGATTTGGCGCGCGGTCGCCAAATCCATGGATCGGGGGAGGAGCCCTTCCACAAATGCGGCCGGTGCCGCCTCGTGCGGCGGCGGAAACCCGCGATTTTACATGGAAGCGGGACTTGTCGCTAGTCCACGCCCCCCTGATCCATGGTTGCGATCGCCTGAAAATTATGTTCTGACTCGTCTTGAAGATTCCCCCTGCAGAGGGACGGGCCCGACTGAAGGCTCGCCTGTGTCCGCGGGTGCCCCCTGCCGCTCCGGGGGCAGGGCCGCAGCGCACCCAACGCTGGCAGACGGCGGCATTTTCTATCCGGAGATCTGGAGGCTCCAGGAGAGGAAGAGGATGAGGAGGACGACGACGACGAGGAGGAGGAGGAGCAGGAGGAGGAGGAGGAGGGGAGGAGGAAGAGGAGGAGGCGCCCGACTGAAGGCTCGCCCGTGTCCGCTGGCGCCCCCGGCGGCAAAGGGCCGCACTGCACCCGACGCTGGCCGACGGCGGCTTTTTTCGCCGGAGAGCCGGAGGCTCCTGGCCGGCTCCGCCCCCCGCCTTACATCGGGCGTGTCCCTCTACAGGAGGAAGATTCGAAAACACTAAAAAATAATGTGGGGACGATTGTTCGATATTTTTGATTGTGGTTGCGCATGTTTGGGGTATCTTTGAATCTTTCGTCCAAAAACCGCCTTTAGGAGGACATGCCCGGTCTTTTGCGCCTGTTTGGAGTATTCTACATTTTCTGTCCAAAATCAGCCTGTAGGAGAACAGTGCCCGACCTAACCCCCGCTTCCTCCTGGGTCCGTGGGTCTGTGGGCAGCCACGGCCGCCCTCCAGCGCCTCCAAGGCCCTCGGAGCGGAGGACGTGGAGGACGATGAAGATGAATCGGTATCGACGGCCTCCGCGCAGCCGCGCCGGGACGGCGAGTCCGGCTCCGCCCAGAGCGCCGTTGGCGACATGATCCGCATCGCGGGCCAGGGTCCAGCGTGCCGACCCCGGTCGTGCCTCGGCGGCGTCCAGAAGCTCGCCCTGGGCCTGACCAGCAACTGCTTCGACGCAGGTGCTGTCGAGGCGGCCTTCGATGAGGTCCTCCTCTCGAGCGACCTGCCCTCCTCCTCCTCCTCCTCCTCCTCTTCGACCTCCTCATCGTCGTCGTCTTCGTCGTCGGAGGCCGTCGTCACACAGGATCACGGAGGCGACGCGCTCTGCATGTGGCTCCTTGACGCAGGGCTAGACCGCGAGCCCTCTCAACTCAAGGCCGCCACCCGGAACGTCGACCTCAACCAGTCCAGCAAGTACCAGTGCGAGCACTGCCACATGGAGTGCACACGCATCGGCAGGGGCTCCTTCAAGCAGGAAGGCTGCAACTTCATGCAGAAATTCCACTTCAACCTCTCCAGCAAGTGCCCGGGTGAGTACTGCGAGGCAGAGGGCATGCGCGTCGGCAGTGGCTTCTTTACGCAGGGTTTGACCGCGAGCCCATGTACGGTCACCGTCCTGAAGTTCGGCCTCACCCTCTCCAGCAAG